TAGTAGTATTATTATTATTATTGTTATTGTCATTGTTGTTATTATTGTTATTACTATTATTATTGTTGTTGTTATTGTTATTGTTGTTGTTGTACTATTGTCGTTTATAATTTGTACAATTAACCTCTCTGTGGTTCGACCCCGGTCTTGCCGAGTTATTTATTACTTCGACACTCCTGCACTTGGAAGAAGACATTAATCTTTTAGTCGTGTTAGTAAGTATGGGCGAAGTTGTATCTGCTGTTGTTCAAAAGAATATGCCTTTTAAGCAAAAGATCCTGGTGCCTTTACTATCCCATGTGTTATTAGTAATGCTAGTTTTAAAATGGCCTTATACGATTTAGGTGTATCCATTAGTATTATGCCTAAATATGTTTATGATTCTCTTAGTCTTGAACCTTTGATTAAAACTAGTAATGTAATGCAACTTACAGATCGTAGTTTTGTTTACCCACTTGGTGTGATAGAAGATGTCCTAGTTAAGATTGATAAATTGGTCATTCCATGTGATTTTTATATTCTTGATATGGAACATGATTCTTATGATTCATCAAACAACACTCCTATATTGTTTGGGAGACCATTCTTGAAAATTGCCAATACAAAGATTGATTATGGTAAGGATTCTTTATCTATAGAGGTAGGAATAAAAAAAATTAAATTGAATTTTTATAATGCAATGACATATCCTTATAGTAATGTTTATTCTATCATATGCTATGACCAAGTTGATAAGTGTGTGCAACAAATTTATGATTTTAATTGTGAGGATGGATTAAGCGTAGTTTTGAGCTATGGTTATGATTTTGCCAAGATAGAAGAGGTGGAGAGGCATTTATGTGTTCCCCAAAATGTGCATGAATCAGCATTGGTTTTGTAAGCTTTGCAACCTATCCCCCATAATACATAAGTCATTTACCCCATCACAGACAGTAAATGGATGAGGCCTATCTTTTTGGTACCTAAAAAGACTGTAACCACATTAGAAGAGATTTGAAATGATGCTTATGAGAATGCAAGGATTTACAAATAAAAGAATAAGAGTCTTCATGATCGAATGCTTACAAGAATAGAGTTTCATGTTGGAGACAAAGTCCTTCTTTACCATTCACGTTTGAAACTTTTTCCTAGAAAGTTACTTTCTCGTTGGATTGGACTATTTGTTGTTTCTAATGTTTTTTCTTATGATGTAGTTGAAATTATAAGTTTAGAAACCTACAAAGTACTCAAAGTTATTGGACGTCGCTTGAAACCTTTCTATGAAGATTGGATGGCAGAACTTACTATTTCTGTGGAGTTAGCTGAACCAATTTATAAAGAATGAGCATGCAACATGTCGAGCCAATGACATAAAACAAAAGTGTTTATTAGGAGGCAGCCCAACAAAAAAAAATTTAGATTTGTTTTTTTTTTTCCTTATCTTTTATTTTTTGCATTTTACTTTATCTTTGTCGTTCTCTTATATTTCTTTTCTTTTATTTCAACATTAAGGACAATATTGTGTTTTAAGTGTAGGGGTATTAAGAGAATTTTGATTTTCTTTATTGTTCTTAAAAAAAAATCATGTTTAAACTTTAAAACTCCTATTAGTTTTTGAGAATATGAGTATTATGTATGAGAATTAATTGAGATAGATAAATGTATAAATTAAATGAATAAGTGTGCATGCAAATTTTAACATTTAATTTTTTTAGGGATTAACTTTGAAAATATGTCATGTTGACTTTATAGTGTTCTACCAATGCAAGCTTTTGAGCCTTCAACATTATATTCTTTGATTGTGCATTTTTTCAATGGCATATATATCTAGAACTTGCTTCATATCTTATTGAAATTATATTCGTATCACATGTGTATATCAAGATGATAAAGGCATTAAAAATTTTAACCACTCGAGCTGAAAAATCAACCTAATATATATTATTTTTAATAAACTTATTTTTAACTTGTTTATCTTTATTTAAATATACAAGCCTTTTAACTTTTTATATATTGTTCATTTCCCCGGGACAAGGATTAATAGAGAATGACCTCGTCATGGCAGCAAAGGAAAGTGGAGAATTTCTCCATGGCGCTGTTGCACTCTGGGCATTTCATGGTCTCAGGGATCCTACCCATAGTAATTGGGAAATCGAAGCGGCAGCAAGGACGAGGAATGTCATGGATCCTGCCTTGGTGATCTTGGTAGGCCAAATCAAAGCCCTTGACAGGCACCTGTCCCTTCCACAAGTCATACTCAAGCAATGTTTGCAAAGCTGTGGTCTTGTGACCATTGGCCACAACATAAGACCCATTGCTAAGCACAGCTCATCCACCTTCTCTGTCGTAGCTAAGCAACTTCTTGATTTCTTGCATCATAGGATCATGGTCATCAAGCTTGCCTAACTGAATCTTGGAGTACAGCATACTCTCTAGCCTGGTCCAAAAGAACCATATCATGGTAAGGTCTTCCCAGACGTAACTGAGCTTCTCCCCGGTGATTGTCGCTATGACTCGCCGGATTTTCTCTCTTTTGCTGCTCTTCCCCACATAAACCATCTCCAGGGGAATGCGAGCTGACTGCGCCACAGCACGTGCGGTGTTTGTGAACTTCCTCACCCATTCATCGTCGTCTCCTCCGTACAAGAAAATGTACTTTCCTTCCTTGATCTGATGATCAAAAAAATATTGAAGCAAATGTCAACACGATTACACAGACACACGTATAATGTATGTATGTTTGGATTGATTCTATAATGAATTTACCCAATTAAGAATCACTGGGTCAATGCCATCCACTAGAAGCTCAAGCCTCCATGTCTCATCCCTCCAGAGAGATTCCTCTCTCGAGCTAGTGAAAGGGAAGGCGCTGCTTCCCCATATCCACATCATGTGGAGTGCATTTGGGCAAACCACCTTCCCTTGCGGGTCAAGCACCACAAGAATAGGCTTATTCCTGAAGTGCCACACCTCCTTAATAAACCTTATGACTGCCTTCTCAATCAGTGAAGGGTGGTACACTGCGAACCATGGCATTGAAGACTGCATGCTTTCAATTTTCTCCTTCACTGGATCGCTCTGGACTGAACGGTCCACAATTGGGACCCAGACCACCTCATACTGACTATCCAGCCTAGCTTCGTGATGCCTGGATTTATTGTATATCTGTTCAAGAATTGAAAGCTCATCGTTCGACATGTCGAGGCCAGAAATAAGCAATAGCACATTTTTCCTTCTTAGCACATCAAGATGGACCTGTTAAATTCAAAAGGAAGTATGAGAAATGTCTTGCATTAGATAGATAAACATAGGAAGAAGAAATGGTAGAAGAGCGAACTCTTTTCTTGGAAGAGCCATCTATAAGTGGCTGGATATCATCCTTGGCATAAATCAGGGCCTTTAGGATCTTCATGTTGTCAATGGGGACCATTTCAAAGAGATTTTTTAGCATTTGAAAGTATTCGACATTTCTCTTTTCATCTGCATCAAACACCATTGTTTATATAAGTGTGCTCGATCAATCTTCGTACATTAATTTCCTGTTTTCTTATTACGTATCCAACACGTGATAGCATAATACAAAAGTTGCTTAGGTGCAGACCTATGTGTTGGTAGCAAGTAGCCAATTGCTTCATGAGATGGTCAAGTATGTTGCTGAGTTTGTGAGCCAAGCTGGATAGCTCCCATGTGGTTGATATAGAAAACCTGAAATAAGTGAAGGAGAATATTACAAGGAATACATGCATGATGTAACATATGGCTCAATAAATTAAAGATGGTGGACTAGAAAAGCATACTCATGTCCCATGGTAGTGAGGCTAGTAATCTGAGCCGCACAAGCCACAACACTCCTCACGGTCCAGTAGACAGCAGTAGGGATATGGGCCATGGCTGTGGACAATGCTGGTACTTCATTAGATATGTAAGCTGGTGGTAGATCCTTGAACTCAACCACGCACCTAGCCACATCCATCATGACCTTGATCAGATTGTTAATGGCATCGAAGCGAGGCTTCAAGGGCCCTGAGTGTTCCATGATGCTAGGCAGTTGCCTGAGTATTGCCATGGATTTGGCAAGTTGGTTTTGTTGGTGGGAGAAACCACTTGTGGTGGCTTTGAAACACTCGGAGGGGATAAAACACACTCTTTTATTTCAAGAACAAAGCTTACAATAATGAAAAACTTACAATAACAACCCGGGGATAAAACACACTGTTTTATTTCAAGAACAACAAGCTTACAATAATGAAAAGCTTACAATAACAACCCCTCTTTCTTTCTCTCTTTCTCTCTAGTGTTTCTCTCAATCTCTCCACACATAATTGCATAAGCTTAGCTATCTATTTATACACGAAATCAAAACAAGAAAATTCAACCTTCAAGTGTGAAGGCGGTTTTTGGCCGACGGTGTGAAAGCGGCCGGCGGCTGGCGGCTGGCGGCTGGTCGGTTGGTGGTTGGGCGGTGACAGCTGGTGGCTGCCTTCCTTGACCTTCTGGATTGAGTTTACTTCAACAATTGATATGCCTCGGCTGGTCGGTTGGTGGCTGGGCGGTGACAGCTGGTGGCTGCCTTCCTTGACCTTCTGGATTGAGTTTACTTCAACAAATCTCCCCTTTAAACTCAATCGAGGGATGTCATGCCAAGCATGAACTTCATTCTGATAAATGTTTCTTCCTTCAATGGCTTTGTATTTTTGCACTTCTCCTTTTGCATTCTTCTTTGTCTTATAGACCTATTTGACACCTATTGCTTTCTTGTTTTCTGGTAGATAAGTCAGCTTCCAGGTATCATTCTTCTCAATGGCATGTATTGCTTCATCCATTGCTTTTATCCACTTTTCTTCTGTGATAGCTTCATTGAAGCTAAGTGGGTCACTATCTGCAAAGAAACAAAATAGAGTTGTATCTTCCATTACTTGAGTGGCGTCATACAGCTCTTCTAGATTTCTCATCCTTCTTGGTCCTTCTGATGAGGATGCTGATGATGGTTCTGATGATGATGGTGTTGATGACGATTCTGGTGTGTTTCTCCTGTTGAATACAGGAAATCTGTGTACCGGACTTTGTGGCTCATCTTCTGGTACTATTGGACCTTCTGCAAGTACTGTTGGTACTTCTTCATCTTCAAGGATCAAATCAGTGCTGATCCATTTAACTGCTTCTTGGTCATCATTCCATTGCCAAGTTTTATCTTCTTCAAAGATAACATCTCTGCTCATAATTACCTTCTTGGTGATGGGATTATACAGCTTGTATCCCATTCTTCTCTCACCATATCCGACAAAGATGCATTTCTCACTTTTATCATCGAGTTTGGTCCTTCTTGCATCTGGGATCTTTGCATATGCCACACAACCAAAGACTCGAAGATGAGTAACACTTGGTTTGTGACCACTCCATGCTTCTTGTGGAGTGACAGCTTGCAAACTTCTGGTTGGGCAGCGGTTCAGCAAATATACTGCACATGATACAGCTTCAGCCTAGTATTGCTTGGGCAGCTTCTTTGCTTTGAGTAGACTTCTTGCCATATCAAGAATTGTTCGATTCTTCCTCTCAGCTACACCATTCAGCTGTGGTGTATAAGCTGGTGTTGTCTGATGTCTGATGCCTTGTTGTGTACAAAAGGCTTCAAAGTCATTTGCTGTATATTCTCCACCTTGATCAGATCTCACAGTTCTGATCTTATAGCCACTTTGCTTCTCAACAATTGCTTTAAAATCTTTAAAACAATTGAACACTTCTGACTTCCTCTTCAAAAAATATACCCATGTCTTTCTGCTAAAATCATCAATAAAAGTGAGGAAGTACCTATTTTGTCCAGTCGACATAGGCTTTATAGGACCACACACATCTGTGTGTATTAACTCTAGTGGCTCGTTTGCTTTCCAGTTGACTTCTTTGGTAAAACTGGATCTGTGATGTTTGCTGAGGACACAACTCTCACAGACTTCTTCTGGATGATCAATGTGGGGCATACCTTTGACCATCTTCTTGCTTGCTAGCATCTTCAGACTTGTGAAATTCAGATGTCCAAGCCTCAGATGCCAAAGCCATTCTTCACTGTTGGTGATGACACTCAAACACTTTGCTGCATCATATTGGATGTTTAAAGGAAACATCCTATTCTTGGACATTTCCACATAGGCAATTAATCTCCCATTGTAGTCTGTAATTGTCAGATGACAATTCTTCATGTAAAGTGTATAACCTTTCTCCAGAAGTTGACCTATACTCACCAAGTTCTGCTTTATATCTGGGACATAATAGACATCGGCGATGTAGCTTTGATCGCCATTCTTCAACTTGATTGGGATGTTGCCTTTACCTTTGAATGGAACTTTTGAGGTATCTCCAAAGGTGACAAAACCTTGTATGGTCTCATCTAGATCACCAAATAAATCTCGTTGGCCACACATGTGATTGCTGGCTCCAGAATCAAGATACCAAATATTCTCTTGATTCTTGTCAAGTCCTTGTTGGACAAATAATGCAGCTGCTCCTCTATTGTTGACATCCTCTTCTGCATAGTTGACTCGCTCACGTATCTCCAGTGGAGCTTTCTTTTGACATTCAGTGCTATAGTGGCCAAATTGATTGCAATTATAACACTGAATATTCCTCTTGTCACGGTTATTGTAACCGTCTCCTCTTCCTCTAGGAGTGAATGCTTGTTGTCCTCGACCTCCTCTGGTGGTGTTTCTACCACCTCTTCCTCTAAAACCTGTATTCCAAGAACCTCTGCCTTGAAATCGTTGAAATCCTCCTCGTGTTTGTTGACTTCTTCCTCGAGTAGTGTATCCACTTGTTGAAGTCTCCCCTTGCTCATATCTGTCTTTGAGAGACAACTTTGCTTGTAAGGCATGCTCAATTGCCTTATCTCCATTTCTTTTTACAATCTTCTGCTCATGAGCTTGCAAAGAACTCATAAGTTCATCCACTGTTAACTTGTCCACCTCTTTAGACTCTTCAATAGCGACAATAACAAAATCAAATTTTGGATCTAGGGATCTCAAAATTTTCTCAGTAATTCGAGCATCTGAAAGGGCTTCTCCGTTTCTTCTCATCTGATTGACTATCACCATAATTCTTGTGTGATAATCAGAAATGGATTCTGAGGACTTCATTTGTAACAATTCAAATTCACCTCGTAAAGATTGGAGACGAATCTTCTTTATTCTGTCAGCACCTTTGTATTTTTGTTGGAGAGCCTCCCATATTTCTTTTGATGTTTCTGCGGAAGCAATGATTTCAAATGTCGCTTCATCAAGACCTTGATAAATGATGGTCTTTGCTTTGTTGTCTTTTTTTCTATTGGCTTTGAGGACTTGCTTTTGTACCTCTGGTAAAGCATCTTCTGATTCTTTCGACTTTGGTTCATCATAACCATATTGCACAATGTCTATACACTCTTGTGAACCAAGGAATGCCTTCAATCTGATGCACCAACTATCATAGTTGTCTTTGGTTAGCTTCGGGATGAGTGTTTGTGCACTTTCTGTAGTCATTTTGCTCTTTAAATGACTATATCACCTTTTTGGGAGTTGAATTTGGCAAAACCGACACCGTAGATGGATCCGGAATGGTCCAAATAGTAGGGAACCGGTCTGACTTTGTAGAAAACGGGTCCAAAATGAGGTGAACCGGTCCAAAAACCAATTCGGGTGGTTTGCTGGGTTGAACCGGGAATATTCCAAGGAATATTCTTTTTTGACTTTGACTTTAGAATATGGCTCGGAGCTTGGCTTGGCTTCAGAATATGGCTTGGAGCTCGGCTCGGCTTCGAAATATGGCTTGTGGCTCGGCTCGCGACTCGGCTTGAGGCTTGGCTCGGCGCGGCTCAAATATGGCGCGCGTGTGACTCACTCGTCTTCTTCCTCGGGGCGCGTGGGCTACAGTGCTGAAATTTCAGACGGAGAGTGTGGTCCACCCCGTGCTCCGATTGATCTGATTTTTGCACCGTTGAGTTCGTATTGATGAGCTCTACACTTTGGAATGATCAAAACTTGTTTTTGACAACTTTGAAAATTCGGATATTTCCCAAAAATACCTCTGTTTTCTGACGAACGGGGCTCTGATACCAATTGTTGGTGGGAGAAACCACTTGTGGTGGCTTTGAAACACTCAGAGGGGATAAAACACACTCTTTTATTTCAAGAACAAAGCTTACAATAACATAAACAAAAGCTTACAACAACCCCTCTTTCTTTCTCTCTTTCTCTCTAGTGTTTCTCTCAATCTCTCCACACATAATTGCATAAGCTTAGCTATCTATTTATACACGAAATCAAAACAAGAAAATTCAACCTTCAAGTGTGAAGGCGGTTTTTGGCCGACGGTGTGAAAGCGGCCGGCAGCTGGCGGCTGGCGGCTGATCGGTTGGTGGTTGGACGGTGACAGCTGGTGGCTGCCTTCCTTGACCTTCTGGATTGAGTTTACTTCAACAGGTTTGACGAATAAATCTGGACAAGCAGCCAGAACTCTCCATAATTCAAAGCAAAAGCTGCTAAGGTGAGCACCAGCTTGGCATCCCAGGAAAAGCGTTCTAGCGTGTTGAAAAGTGAGACAGTTGTTGCGTGGGCATCTGTCCCACCCAGTACCTCGTAGGGAGTCTGCCTAAAAATTAAAAACGCGAAATATTGAAAATTGTCATTGATTCTTTAGGTCAATGCCTATATATCATATATAGCTTGTTAGCATGTTGAAAAGTGATACAGTTGTTCCGCAGGCATCTGGCCCATCCAGTTCCTTGTAGGCATTCTGCAGAAAAAAACCAAGGCCGAAAAATTTCAATTGATTCTTTAGATTAATGCCTATATATCATAGCATCAAAATTGAAATATATTGTATAACCTTTATGGAACTTACGTGTTTTAATGTATACGACAGTTGATCGATCGCTATGCAAACAGAATTGATTTGTTGAGTCTTGTCCTCCACTTCAGCATGGTCTTGGGAAGTCTGCATTGTCAGACGTGATCAGAGTAACATAAATGAACAAAAAATAATAGAGCTAAGTTGATATTCAAGTTAATTTCCAAGGATGAGTTTAGTTTAGTACTATACCGTTAGAGAGGTATCGATTTGCTGGGTAGCACGTTTGAGGATGTCTTCAACTAGATGGAGATATGGTTTGACATCAACCTCTAGGCCATCAGGAGCATGAGTTCTTTCAATTTCTTTCATCAACACATTGTCATTGAACATTGTTAGCATGCTGCCGCGGTCACTCTTGATCAGTTGCTGGCTCGCATTAAAACCATGGGCAGGGTGCCTGAGGGGAAGGCCTGATGCCATGGGGATCAGCTAATTGAAAGCAATTAATGGATTCTTTGGGTTATGGGGAGGAAGTAGAGAAGATTGGCTTGTGTGTCTTTGTTCCATATCTGGCATGCCTATTTATACTATTAGAAATGGAATAAAGCTCAATTGAATCAACTTCCTTACTTCCCTATTAATCAAAATATTAGGGACGTTAAGGAGAAGGCTATACTTTTGTGGTCCCTACGTCTACCCATCATCCTCATTACTTTATATAATATGGATTTTACCCTACAAATCTGCTCAACACTCCATGACGATGATATGTTTGGAACCTTTTCATCTTTTTGTATTTTCTAGCAATTTGGGAACTCAATCACAAACTCCCTTTAATTTCTTGATAGCTAATTAACATACAAGTAGGTTAATGGTACATTTGCTCCTAGTGTTCTTGACATTTACTCAATGTTGCCCCTCTGCTCAGTTCTTATTTGATTCCATAACTAAAAAGATATGGAAGAGATGTATAATTGAGTGATAAATGTAAGATCCTGTTGTATAGTCCATGCAATATCCCACAAATAAAAGGAAAGAAATAGCAATAACAATTAAAGTACTGTTGTGTTTAGTTGGCCTGGAAGTCGCTTAGTTGAACAGCGAATACACAGTATCGTCAACAGATTCTAATGATATTTTCCGCTAGAATGTAGAGCCACGATCGAGAAGGGTGACTGACCAATCCTGTGCTTGGCTTCCTTACTTGATACCTGTTTTTACGTGTGCTAGTAATTATCGGGAGTTTTCTTCTTTCTCAAGAGACAAAAAGTGAAAGAGAAGTAAGATATGATTCCTTGCTTTGCTGGGGAAAGACTAGAAACTTGATTTACCAAAATATGCCCACTGTTACGTACAATCCAACCCTTAAAAGAGCACGTTTGCGTTCTTGCCTCATATTAGTATGCTTTTGGTTCAGATCTTATCAAGCGGCCGTTAACTCTGGAGACTGCATGCCGACATATTTAGGCTCCATGAAGGCATGGAATTATAAGTGATTCTGATAGGCATAACTATTATTTTCAAAAAAAAAAAAAAATGATTACTATTATATATGGAGAAGAAGTATTAAAGGAAAAGGTCGGAAGAATTTAAACTTTGGAGGAGGTATGACTATTATAGTCTCCTGTAATTCTTAAAGTGATGCCAAATCAGTGATTTGGGATGGAATATCATTGAGTATCTATAAAGTTTTTAGTCAAATTATTAATAGCTTGTAGATGGTATGTCTGTTACTGGTTGTTTCAATTAACCAGTAATTCAAGATGGATGAGCAATTCTTTATTTCTTTTTTTCTTTTGGTTACGCAAGAGAACTTGGAAGACCAAGAACAAGAATATTAATTCTTTAAAAAAATAAAAAAATCAAATCAAATTTATGCACCTAATTAACCTAAAAAAAAAGAAGTATGCCTAGAATGTCAAATCAGCACCCTTTTTAACTGTTTTTTTCTATTAAATAAATAGAAAGATAACAAATGATTTATCTAATTTAAAAAAAAAACTCAGAAAATTCATCATTTATTTGTGCAACTGATGTGTCATCCATAAGTATATTTTTTGGCCGCCTCATATGACTAGAAAAGTGAGGTTCAAATTTTTAAATCCTAAAAATCTAATATTCAACATGTTGTACCATATATAAAAACATTTTAAAATTCTTAATAAAACTATTTACAACCCCTCAAACACTCTTTACTCACTCTAAAATATGAAAATTTAATAAAATAAAAAACAATTTACAGGCTTCAATCTTTTCTTTTCTTTTCTTTTCTTTTTTATGTTCAAAGAACAATAATACCTACATTAAACTTCCCTTTTTCATAATAAATTTATTTACACAAAGATGAATTTTTTATGACTATATTAATATGATTGGACAAACTTTATCCCTGCTCTTTTAACTTCTAAGAACTAAAATATAATCGATATTAAAGATATAAATATAAATATCTAATAAAGCATGAATCAAACATGAAAAAAAAATTAAGGATTAAATTGAAATGTTCCACACTTTGTGAACAATTTAAATGGAAAAAACACTATTATTATTTTATACTAATTTGATTCTAGTTCGTTCAATTATTTTAATAATAATCTAAAATTTTATTTTACAACATTGATGAAAAGGTTAACAGATCACATAAGCAAATGTGTGATACTACGTCATGTTAATATTAAACTATTTGATACATCAACCAACATTAAATATTCTTTTTAATGATTTTATGAGCACTTCTAGTTAATATTGATATTAATAATTGAACCTAGAAACTTAAAAAATAAAAACATATATTCTTGATTGCTAATCTAACCCCTTGACATTTGAAACAGTATATATTAGAAACCCAACTAGATAATTATCCCTGCTATAGGTGGATCAACAGAAACTAGCAATAAAAAAAAAAAACCTTCTACAATCACAATATTACATTATATCGATGAAAATATATGTAGGTATTTAAACATTATTTCTTTAATAAAAACCTTTACAAGCATAATCATGAATAATAATTGGTTGTTGAAAACCTATCATCAATTATTTTTATTTTTTGATCATTTTATTGATAATATAATTACTAATAAATTTTGAAATAAAAAACATGCCAACAAAAAGAATTTATTTGTAATTTTTTGCTGGTTCTTCCATCAATAAATATAGCAAATCTATGAAAAAATAAACCCCTGGTAATTTTATGTGGTTTAATTCACATTATCAACAGAATTATTATGTCAATAAATCATATAATTTTAATGGCAATCATTGTAATTCTTTTGAACTCTCAACCTTTTTGATGGATTTTTTATGTTAGTAATTTGTTTTGTATTGGGTAATAGTGAAGTCTTGTAATTGATTTTTAAATATTTGAAAAAAAATTAGAGACTTAGTTCGTGAAAAATTCTATTTGTAATTTTTTTCGAACTTTCTAGAATTTTATGAAAGATTTGGTATGTCGATTATTTTGTTTATGATTGATATTTTGTTTGTAATTTATAAAATATTTATTAAATAAATAAAATAAAATAAAAATTATAAAAAATAAAACTAAAATGAAAAACTAAATTTTTATTATTAATTTAAAAAATATTCATTTAAATATAATTTATCAAGAAGATAGAAGTTAGAGGATGAGGAGGCATATCTTTACCCAAACCAAATAGATAACAAGATAGATTATATGGACCATTGAACTATTAGTAATAGTTGTTAATATTAAAATTAAAATTCTTGAAAAATTTTAAATTTACTATTTATATTATATCTATCTATTTCAGAAAACTCAATAATAAAATAAAAGTTTAGGTTGGACAATTAAAATTGCAGATCACATGTAATTGTTATTGGCATAATTTGAATTAAATTTGAGTGCAATTTTTTTTTATAAAATAATTCTCTCTCATGTTTTTTTTTTTAAATGACGCCGTGATTCGTGTTCCCATCAGATCTAGTCGAATTTTCCAGCTCATAATTGTTGATTTTTCCTCAAGTACGGAGGCTGAGAAAGCCACCAATAGTGGCACCAGCATTTTAGGCGCTTCTGGTTATGCTTCGCACATAGCTTGCAAGCCACTAGCACCGAGGCAATAGGCAACTGCCTCGCCACAGTAGCACCAGACGATGATGGGGCTGATGAGCACCCAAGCGCGAGGCTGATGCCTTATGTATGAAGGTTGTTGTGGGCGATGACGGCATGGTTGTGCTACCAAGATAGCTGCTAGCAGAAGCAGCAGCAGCAGCCTTTGTAGCCACTGCTAGACCAGTAGCTGAAAGAAAACGATGAGGGGTAGAATTACAATTCTTCTCCTGACCTTTTATTATATTACAATAGGGTTTTTAAGGCCAAAATTATGATTTAACCCTATTCTAATTCAATATTATAATAGGCTAATTTTAGGTAAAATGTTCATTTTATATATTAAAATTAAAATTCTAAATAAAATTAATTATAGAATTAATTTTATTTATAGGATTGAGATTGAATTAAAATGTTTAATTTGAATTGTTTTAGTTTTGTAATGTACTAATAAGATTAGGATTTAATTAAAATGTTTAATTAAATAATATTTAGAAAAAATAGTTTTTCTAAAATAAAGAGATTTTTTTAAGTGATTAATTTTCTTATTAAATTCTAAAAAATGGTTTTAATAGTTTTCAATTCCTTTTTTTAAGTGATTGAATTAAAGTATGCAATATTTATGCATATTAAAGTGTAATTATGTATGATTTATGATTATAGACATTAAAAATTAATATAATTTTTTTTTCTATTGTTGTAATATTAGAGCATGCATATTCTGTCTTTTTTCTATGTTTTTTTTAGGGTTGTTGATGTAACCATATTATTCGATAGTTTCACCCATATTTACCTAATGTTTTGTCCATGTTTTATATGTAAAATGCCTTGATATTCTTTATTTTGTGTTTTGAAGGTACTTTTGGATGAAAAATGCAAAAAGGAGTAAATTGTAGATAATTGACAGATTTGACGTTCAGTCGATGTTTTGTGCAGAGTATGAGTTCTAGAGATCGAAATGAAGTGATTCTAGTGGCTCTAAAAAGCTAACATCCATACATTTCTGGAAATGTAATGCAAGAAAAATAAAAAGAGCAAGATCATGGAAATCACATCCTTCAAAGTCAAATCTCGCATTCTGCCACTGTTGACCTTTGTCCATTAAAAATTCCATATCTGGAGCTATAAAAGTCCAATTGATGCAAACTCAATTTTGTTGGATTGCTGACTCAAAGGTCTAGAAACGCTCCAAATATCAGCCAAAAATGATGTCATATGAGTTTTCAAAGATGACAACTGAATTCTGCCAGCAAACTAGTTTTGTGAAGAAACGAATCCAAATTACATCCCGAAGCTTCTAAACCATCATTCAAGTTGTAATTTCAGCAATTTAGCCCCTCTAGTAAATCAATCTAAAAGATCAAGGAAGGCATCCACCAACCTCAAACCACCAAACACAAACCAGCTGCAAATTGGAATGCTGCCATTGTCAAAGAAGATGGCTGCCATTGTCAAAGAAGAAGGCTC